AAGGCATAAACCTTTGTCAGCGGAAATATGTCCTTGACCTGTTGGAAGGAAACAGGGTTACTAGGTGCTAAACCAACTAAAACTCCAATGGAATTGAATGTGAAGTTAGGAAGTGACACATGTGAATTGTTTGATAATCCTAGAAGGTATAGAAGGCTAGTGGGAAAACTGAATTATCTAACTATCACTAGGCCTGATATCTCATTTGTTGTCAGTGTGGTAAGCCAGTTTATGCAGTCCTCAGGTACCTCACTGGGATGCAGTTCTTAGGATTGTGCGGTATTTGAAAGGGGGTCCAGGCAAGGTTCAAAGTATCAACATGTATCGGCCTGTATCGGCCGATACGTATCATTCCGTGACCCCTCCGATACGCCCCTACAATGGGTGTATCAGGGGTCTGACCGGTTCAAGGTGTGGAGGAGGCCTAAACCAGCTCCCATGAATTATACCAAAGTTGTATCGATACGCCCATACCGGTGTATCGGGCGTATCGATATTTTGAACCTTGGCTCCAGGTCGTGGATTATTGTACAAGCCAATAGGTGATCTTGAAATAGTTGGATACACTGATGCAGCCTGGGCTGGCTCTGTATCAAATAGAAGATCCACTACAGGTTATTGCACCTTTCTTGGAGGAAACCTTGTGAAATGGAAGAGCAAGAAGCGGACTGTGGTAGGAAGGAGCAGTGTAGAAGCAAAATATAGGGCCATGGCACACACTACATGTGAACTAGTGTGGTTGAAGAATCTATTGCAAGAAATCAGGTTCTCAATAAGCAAACCCATGAAACTATACTATGACAACTAGGCTGCAATTCACATCTCATCCAATCCAGTGTTTCACGAGAGAACTAAGCACATAGAGGTAGATTGCCACTTTGTAAGGGAAAAGGTCATCAATGGTGTGATAAGAATAGAGCATGTGAGAACAGGTGATCAATGGGTAGATCTGTTCACAAAAGGGTTAAGTTCGGGAAGAGTGATCTATATATGTAACAAGCTAGGATTATATGATATATACTCTCCAGCTTGAGGGGGAGTGTTAGAGTCGAATAAATAGGGGTAATTTAGTCTTTGTATGTCTCTTACATAGACAGGGACATTTCTGTCTTTGTATGCCTATTTACTAATTCAAAATGAAATGTCGACTATGTAGGACTTTTGAACTACTCAGTTCGACACTGTTCTTCTTCTTCCTCCTCCTTCTTTTTCTTCTTCTCTCCTCTCTCTTTCTTCTTTACCAGTGTTCCTTTGCACTAAGTTTCCAATTCCAATCTCCCCTAGTTCTTTACTCCTACATACGTTTTCCCATTTACTATGTGATCTCTCTTAGATTCCCCTCGTGTCCCACAAAAAGTCCCTCATTATTGTTTAGGGTTGAAACATGGGATAAATGTTTTACATGTTGAAGAACGATCAAAGACTAAGTTCAATACTTGAAACCAAGTCAATTTTCTAGAACACCTTATATGTGTATTCTTGAAGGGAAAAGAATAACATAGAATGCCTGAAATGTGTAAACCACATTTTAACTATAATTTTCAAACAAAATGGGATGTAGCACAAGAAGTTTGACTCTATAACAATTCACAGAGTTGGATCACCTAGAAAATGAAGTTGGAGGCTAGTAAACTTGCCAAATTGTAATTTGACACTACTCAGAAAGTATAAGGAGAAGCTCTTCTCCAACCTCCTCTGCCCAATAAAAGGGTCCAAACACTGGGATCGTTGACAATGTGCCATCTTTAATTATAACACTTAACTCTATGCAATGCCCCAAGTCCTTAAATTACATCTATTTGAAGGAGGAGAATGTAATTATTTTTTTTATCATCAACACAGAAATTCATTCATTCATTAACTTAAAGAAAAAGAAAAGATTACAACAAGTTGTGAAATAAAAACAAAAATTGTCAAACCCAATACAATGTATGACACCTATCTACTTAATTCATCTAAAAAGGTAGCTTCCTTGTCAAAAGCAAAAGAAAAGTTAGACCACTAGTTTTTTTTTTTATCAGCAAAAGAGAATTTTATTTGAAATTAGGGTTAAAATAATGTTTTACAGCTTTGTGTATGGGATTATAGCTCCCGCACTATTACAAATTTCTGTCCCACTTTACATTGCAGCTCAAGACACTTGTTGCCTCAAAGCCCCTTGTTTAGCAAGATAATCAGCTAGCCAATTTGCACTCCTTCTAACCCATTTGAATTCAGCCTCTACCTCCCTTGCAACATTTTCCACTTCCCTTATCACTTGTTTGAAGGTCCATGAAATACTTCTATTGTTTTTAGCCCAAGAAATTATCACCTTGGAATCCCCTTCAACCCCAATGTGCCTCATTCCCAGTTGTTTAGCTATCTTCAGCCCTTGTAGCAATGCCATTATCTCAGCTTTTAGAGATTTGCTCATGCCAATCGGTCCAGAGAACAAAGCTAACATTCTCCTTTCAGAATTTCTGATTACCCCCCCAATTCCTGACAGTCCTGGATTTCCAAAAGAGCTTCCGTCAAAATTTAGTTTAAACCTGTTACCATCTAGAGGTTTACTCTTGAGGATTGTGCTACTTCTGTCCAAGATCTTATAATGTCTATGATTGAGAAATCTTGAAAGATATGCATAGATCTTACCCGATGAGATACTTTAACTTTGATGGTGTCGATTACCTCCTCCATTGTTCTACCTCTATCCAAAAATATTCTGTTGTTCCTTTCCATATAACCTTCCCTCTTTTCTTTGGTTGACTCAAAAAGTCCCGATTTAAGAGTCCTGTCACATCTTGAGGAGAAACCCACCTGCAACCAAAGAGAGTACAAAAAAAAATCCCAAATGTGATGCACAAAAGAGCAAGATAATAATAGGTGTGCTAGGGACTCACCACTTTCCATACAAAGGGAGCACATGTGAGAAGAAAGGCATACATAAGGCCTTCTTCTTTGCAGCACATCACAAGTATTTACCTTGCCAAGGAAGATTTCCCAACAGAAAGCTTGAATTTTTGGGGGAATAGGCTTACTCCATATTTCTTTCACAGGGAAAACCCCAACCGGGATGCAAGGTGAAGCAAGAACACTAAAGAAGGAAGAACAAGAGAAGAGGCCATCTGAGGAGCCTTTCAATATTCTGGAGTCTTCCAAGGATGGGTCCAAATGAACTTGTCCAATTAGGTCCAGCAATTGAACTAAAGAGTCACATTCATTTTCCCTGAGGCCCCTTTTGAAACCCTGATTCCAATTAACCCCATTTGGACTAGGATTTCCCAAATTTCTTATTGTTTCCCCTTTGAAATTTGACATAGAGTAGAGGTCAAGAAAAAGTTCCTTAAGTGGACTATCTCCCACCCAAAGGTCTTCCCAGAAACGAATTTTATTAGACTGGCCCACATCAAGTCGAATGGAATTAAGGGGTGTCGGATAAATTTCATAAATTCCTTTCCAAGGAGAAGCTGAAGAAACATGAGGGGCAATTTTTGCATCCCAACCATTTCCATCCAAACCATGAATACTCTCAATGACTTTGTGCCATAGCCTATCTCTCTCAAAAGGGAATCTCCACAACCGTTTTCCTAACAAAGTTGAGTTCCTGAGTGAAATATTTCCTAATCCCAGACCCCCTTGATCCTTGGGATTTCTAACTTGGTCCCAATTAATCAAGTGAACCTTCCTCTCCTCTCCTGGGCCCCACAGGAAATCTCTCATGTATTTCTCTAAAATCCATGCTACTCTATAGGGTATTCTAAAGGTTGAAAGGAAATAAATAGGGAGGTTTTTCAAAGTGGCTCTAATCAAGGTTATCCTTCCACCTAGAGAGATATAATTCCTCTTCCATAGAGCTAGCTTCCTAGAAAATCTTTCAATGACTAGCTTCCAGAACCTCCTGACCTAGGATTGCCTCCTAAAGGTAACCCCAAGTAGCTCATTGGCCAACTTCTAATCTCACACCCCAAAATCTCTATGAATCTATGGAGTTCCCCTTCCTCCAGATTAACCCCTACAATGCCTGTTTTAGTCCAATTTATTTATCCTTAAACCTGTCACCTCCACAAAGTTATCCAATAGTAATTTTAGGTTTACCAGTCCCTCATTCCCACCCTCACAAAAGAATATTGTGTCATCTGCAAATTGGAGGTGGATAACAACCACTTGATTTCTACCTATCCTCCACCTTCTGAACACTGGTATTGTTTCCATGTGTTTCAGCATCACACTAAGATAGTAATGAGTTTAATCTCTTTGATTCCCTCAAGGATTCAGGATGAATAGGCCAAGAGTTTAAGTCTCTTTGCAATTCCAATGAGCCACCTTATATTTTTTATTTTTGTAAAGGTAATGTATTGTATTATAAGCAAGAAGATTACAGACCAATGCCATATACAACCATACCAAAATGGGACCACATAGAATTTCTGTTAATGGGTACTTAACATAAAAACAAAATGCCCCTATCAAAACATCTATTATAATCAATGCTCCTGAAGTCCTTATCCACTGACAGCCAGGAGAAAAGCTTTCCTTTAATATGACCAAGAATTATTGGATCCTTGGAGTATTTGTTCTCAGATATCTGAGCATTCCTCCTCCCACATACACTAAAAGGCAGTCATAGGCAGGAAAAAATCCAGTCCGTCCAAAAGTTTCCAAGATTGTATCCCAACCCTGAATGAGCCATATTCTCTTCAAAACATAAATTTTATCATCTTTTTACACTTCACAAACAAGAGGTAAAGGAAGCAGTCGCCATACTGTATGATTTGCAGCTCATATAAAATATCTAAACCAACTGTGGATATGAATCAGTGAACTAATAGCAGGTCAACTAAACAATGCTCAAAACTCAAATAGGAAAAAAACATCATGTATCATTCAAGAATACAAATGCAAAATGATTGGCATTGTTGCCACTTTTTTCAAACAGGATGATGTTATTTACAATCTTCTCCATGTTGGTTTTGTACTTGGCCTTCTTAATACCCAGGGTTTTAATTGAAAAAGAAATATACCATGGCAGGGACAAAGTGTGTTGCCAGGCCACAAGCAAGCATCTCTGCACCATCCAACCTTGCACCTGTAAGACCAATATATTCCCCTGGAAAGAAAAACCAGAACAAAATAAATAAGATCTAAGCTCACTCAAGATAATTTAAGGTCCAGTAAGGGATAAAGAACCATAAAATGGCCATATGCATGGTTCACAATTTCAATATCGATAGAAATTTCACCATGTAGATATGGAAAATTTTCTAGGGTATTTCGCTAGTTCTGCTAAGATATTTGGAAATTAAAAAATAATCAAGGAGATGTTCTAAAAACACGGAATTAGTTATTTATCAAAAGAAAACATGGAATTAGTCAACAAGCCTCCAAGGAATCACTAGTATAATTGCACATTTAAGGATCAAAAAACAATAGCAAACAATTGTGTAAATCAAATAAGAGAAAACTAAGAGACTTAAATTAGGTATCTTTTTTTCCATCTCCCTTTTGATCTTTTAGAATTCTTCTCTCCATTACATGTGTCATTTACTTTCCATTTCCACTTTTGTCTTTTTTTGTTACTATACATTTTGAATTTTTTTATTAGATTTAGAATCCCCTTTTGTGGTTGTGTACCTTTTTATTTTTCTTTTGAATTTAGTGACTTATTAATTGAACCATATATCAAAATTGTAAGCCAATTATCCTATCACTACTTGTTCTTTTCGGAATATATTTTTTAAAAATTATGATGATTTTAATGCAACATCAAAAACTTTCTAATAATATTCTAGAACTTTGTGAACCTAGTTGCATTCCACCACAGCCGCTTGCTAAGCATCTCCCAATTTCTTCCTCAGCTTCAGCAAGATTTCTGACCATAATGTAGCCACCAAGATATGGTTTACCTCCACCACATTTATCACCACTGTCAAATAACATTTCCATACAGCCTTAATCCTCACCCACTAAGTTATTTGTCTTGCCTCTATCAAATTATCTAGCTCAATAAAGCCAACACAGAGGTCACCAATCTACCTAATCATTACATTGCTCCATTAAGTGTAAAGGTAGTCAAAAGCTCACACCCAACATGATTTCCACTCCCCTATGGTCACAGGTGCAATTATTGCTCATTTTCCTTGGTACTAGATAAAGCAAATCCCCTTCGAGATTCCTTGATCCTATTCTCCAAACTCTCCTTGCCTCTGCCTCAGACGATAAGATGAATAGATATTTGCAGTCTAGTAATCTCCTAACTTTAACCCCAAAGTCCACCTTCCAATTACACATTGCCCATTGCTGTTTTTCTATAGAAAACAGTAACTTCATTGATTAATTTAAGAGTACAACTGTCATCACACAACAAGGTGGTGAGCCTTTAAAAGAAGCAGAGTTACATACAAGCCCAAAACATAGCCTCCCTGTTGACTCCCTGCTTTGCTAAGGTGTCAGCCATTCCATTTGCTGATCTTCTAGTCCATATAGCTTTGCACCCCAAGCACCCTTGCTAGACAGAAAATCTCTCTTATATTCTGTCTAAATAGCTAAAGTGCTCAAGCTTCCTGTTTGCAGCCAACCTGTTACCAACTTGGAATCTCCTTCCACCTCTAGCTATTGCAGTCCCCACTATTTAGCCGATTGGACCAGAGTAAAGGCCTAGCACTCTTCCTTTTTCATTTCTTAAAGACACTCCCAATTTCAGAAGAGCCTGGGTTACCCATAGAGCTTCCATCAAAATTCAACTTCACCATATTAGATAGAGGTGGAGACTAGCTTTCTTGAACAATGGGAGAAGAGGAAGATGAAGCCACTATAGTACTACAACCCCTAAAGAAGTCATCTAAAGAAAAATCCTTGAAAAGATCCAAAGTTTCCAAGCAATGTATATTATCTTGATGGTTATGCCTTCAGTGAGTTCTTTGATTCTTTCTTGCCCTTGGAAGGTCCTGTTGTTTCTTTCTTCCCAAATCGACTACTGTATAGCTGCTCTAGTTGTTCTTCACATCACCCTTCCCCACTTATTTGATTGTTGGAAGACGCTAGAGTTGAAAAGGTTCACCACACTCAAGGGATTCTACCTGCAACCAATGAGAGAGAACCAGCTCCAAATATAAGAAACAAAAAGATAAGAGATTAGTAAATGAGTCACTGTCTCACCACTCCTCAAGCAAAGGCTACAGATATGTGGGGAAAGGCACCAAAAAGGCTGTTTTCTTTGAAGCATGTCCATTTCTGTATTTTCTCCATCAGTACCTCAATTGCTACCATCCCCACCAAGCACCTTTTAAGAAAGCCTTTTTTCCTCTTTTTCCCTTTCCCATCCACTTCAATAAAGAAACTTCGACTACCCGCCTTCAAAGGCGCTTCCCCTTCCCTTGTCTATTCTATTCCTTCTGCTTTCTCAACAAATGTTGTGTATCTGTCACCCTACCAACAACCTCTATCTTCCTCTCAACATCTTGATGTGCATCTTGCCTTCCTCTTTTCATTCCTCCCCATCCACCTTGTACCCCTCTCTCCCCCATTACCACCCCTTGTTCCTTGGAACAGCTCACTTTCAGACTAAACCCAAATTCTCACACATGTTGGCCCAAGATTTTATCATCGAACCAATCAATGGCCCCCTCTTTTTTTTTTTTTTTGATGAATATCAGTGGCCCCTCTTTATTTGCAGTTGAACCATAAACTTTTTGCCATAAGCTCTAGTTAATAGTGGACAAGCTCCATTTAAGATAGAGTGGACAAGCTCTAGTTAATAGTGAAGGTGAAGGAAATAACCATACTTCTTGAAAGAATTTTTTATCAATCCCTTGAAAGTAAGGAACTAAGGATCCCTGGTTTCTTAGAAACATAATTGGCTGAGAACTATTTGACAAACACATAAGGTAAGATAGAGATGGAACAGATTTACCAAAGAAGCCAGGGAGTCTGGATAAAAAATAAGAGGCTCCTACATCTGGAAATAGTCCTAGTGCTGTTTCTGGCATGGAAAAGACCTGCAAAAAGCCAATTGCATGATGAAGCAAATGGTTCTAACCCATGAGGAAGGAAAAAAATATTTAAACAAATAAAAAGTAATGATTCCAATCTTATAATCAAATTTCCATAGAAAATAAGTAAGATATACACATACACCTACATGAATATACATATATAGATACATACATAAATATGTAAGTATATTACATATATGTTTACCAGAAGTTTTAATGAAATCCAAGATTTTTTTTTTTTTGATCAATAACACCAGCTATATTAAATTAAAAGAAAAGAGGGAATATGGATACAAGAGGGGAGATAAAATATCTTAGCTCCCCAAAAACAGAAAACAAAGGGAGTGCAAAGAGAAAAGATTAAAAACTAGCCCAAAAAACAGACTCCCTATTCACTCCTTGCTTGGCCAACCCATCCGC